ACATCCCGGAGCCGCCACTCGAAGGTCAGGGACACCCCGGGCCGGGTCCCCTCATGGGGGTCTCTCTGTCCCCCCGCAGGGTCCGGACGCGGCTGCGGGACTGCGGGTGATGGGGAGGGGTCACCCCGGTCACCCCCCGCTCCCCGGGRATTTGGGGCGGGGGGCGAGGCTCGGGCCTGGAATTCAATCCTGGAATTGCGCCTGGAGGGGGTGGGACAGTGACACGCCACCCCCATGCGACACCCGCGGCTCTGTCACACCCCGGAACCCCAGGGATGTCCCCAAGGCTGGGCTGGGGGTGGCACCTTCCCCCAGGGTCTCACGGGGATTTGGGGTCCTGGGGATTGCGGAGACGCCCGTGCTGACACCCCAAAAACCAGCACAGCCCCTGTGTCCGTGTCACCTGCGTGTCACCTGCGTGTCCCCTGCGTGTCCCTCCCTGTCCCCTGAGTGTCCCTGTCCTCCGGGATGGGCTCAGGGCTCGGGGGTCGTGTCTCGGGGGTCCCGAATCGGGGGTCGCGGTTCGGGGGTCGTGGCCGTGACTGGGCCGTGCTCCGGCTCAGGGCGGCGGCGCTGGAGGAGCCGGCACTGCCGGGACCCTGCGGTACGTCGGCTTTGTCCCCTCTCGGTGTCCCCAAGGGCCACCCAGCCGCGTGTGAGGTGACCCGGGGGTGGCTCGGGGGTGTCCCAGAGTGTCCCCTCCCTGTCCCGCAGCGCGTGGCAGCAGCGGGATGAGCCTCGAGGGCACCCTGAGCCCGGGAACTAAAGGTACGGGCCACCCCAGGGTGTCCCCGCGGTGTCACCGCCACCCCCGAGCAGCGGGTGGTGGCGCTGGGGAGGGACCTTGGTGTCCCCAAACCGCCCCGGCTCACCCGCTGTTGTCACCCGATCCCTTTCCCAGCTCTTCCGCTCCCGGGGAGCCCCAAATCCGCGGGCAGGTGAGATTTGGGGTCCGGGGGGAGGGGGGAACGGGGGGCGACACTGTCCCCGTGTGTCCCGCTGGCAGTGTCCCCTCCTCGCGCAGGGCTGCAGGGGACAGGCGGCTCAGCCTGGGGCACAGCACGGTGTCCCCTCCGCTGTCCCCTCCCGTGTCCCCTCCGCTGTCCCTCCCGTGTTCCCACCTCTGTCCCCTCCGCTGTCCCCTCCGCTGTCCCCTCCAGTATCCCCTCCCGTGTCCCCTCCGCTGTCCCCTCGCCGTCCCCTCCGCTGTCCCCTCAGCCTCGCCACCATCTCCAGGTGGCTCTGTGTCACTCTGGGCTGGGCTCAGTGTCGCTGCCACCCCCGCGGGGGCTGAGGCGGGGCTGTCCCCTCCCCTCCCCTCCCGTCCCGTCCCGTCCCTCAGCGTGTCGCAGTTCCTGTCCTGGTGGCCGTCGGACGCCGAGGAGATCCTGCACAGTTTGGGTTTCTCGGGCTCCGAGCCGGGCCCGGGCTCCCGGGTCCCCCCGCGCTTCTTCTCGTCCCCGTCCCGCGCCTGCGGCATCGACCTGCGGCTCTTCGTGCGGGCGCAGCTGCGGCGCCTGGAGGCCGAGGACCCGTGCCTGCTGCTGGCCAGTGCGTGACACCGCTGTCCCCAGGCTCCCCGAGCCACCGGCGGCTCCTCGGGGCGGTGGGAAATCTCCCGTGCCTCAGTTTCCCCAGGCGGGAGTTGGGGATTCCCACCCCCCATCCCCCGAGCTCGCTGACCCCCCCAATGTCGCCCCCAGGTCGCTTCCAGCAGGTCCAGGCCCTGGCTGCCACCGCCGACGCTTTCTTCTGCCTCTATTCGCACGTGTCGCTGACCCCCGTGCAGCGCATCGTCCCCCCCCGGCCCTGTCGCGACAGCGGCGACAGCGGCGACAGCCCCGAGCTCCGCGGGGCCCGGCCCGGGCAGCGGCTGAAGCGCGCGGTGTCCTCGCTGTGCCTCTACACCGGGGGGGACGGCGACATCCCGCGGGGGTCCCGAGGGGCGACCCCCGACCCTTCCAGCGCCCCGGGGCCGGGGGGGCTCCGGCGGGAAGCGGGCGGTGTCCCCGAGGGCGGGCGGAGGGACGGCGACACGGGGACAGCTCATGGGGGGTCACCCGGGGCGCTGGGGACAGCGTGGGGACACCCGGAGGGGTCCTGTCCCCATGGAGGGAGCGCGGGGGACACAGGGGACCCCCGGCCGGACACCGCGGTCCCTTGGGCCGATGTCACCGTGTCCCCCACGTTGGGTCCCCTGCGGGCGGGGGTCACYCCCGAGCACCCGGCGGGGATGGGACCCCAAGGACACTCCGGCCCGGGCTCCCGGTGCCACCCGGGTGCCACCCAAAGGACCGGGCTGCAGCCACCCGGGAGGGTCCCCGCGACCCCCGAGCCCCGAGGAGCGGCGGAGTCCTTCGAGATGGAGGAGGTGAGGAGGATGAGGAGGATGAGGTGAGGAGGAGGAGCAACAGCAGAGGGAGGAAGGGCCCCGCGGCCGGCGCGGGGAAGGAGCTGGAGCGGGAAATGTCCCCGGAGCCCCGCAGGCTTTTAAGGTTTAAATGATTCAGAGGCTCGGGCGGGGCCGGGCCCGGGGGGAGCCGGGTCACCCCATCCCCCCCTCCCGCGGCACAGACACGCACAGGCCGGGCCGGGTCACGCGTGGGGACACGAGGGACGCGCCCAGGGTGGCGGGGACAGGGTGGGGACACGCTCAGGGCCGCCAAACCCYGCAGGTGCTGAGCGAGGATGAKGAKGAKGATGAGGATGATGAGGATGATGAGGATGATGAGGATGATGAGGATGAAGAAGGCTCCCAGCCCCCCCACGCCTCGGCCAGGACCCGAAGGAGTGAGTTGGGGGCTCCCCGCCCTCCGGGGACACGCGGGGTGCCCGATGCCACCGTGTCCCCGCCACGTCCCCGCCGTGTCCCCGCTCCNCCGGCGGGGATGGGACCCCAAGGACACTCCGGCCTGAGCTCCCGGTGCCACCCGGGTGCCACCCAAAGGACCGGGCTGCAGCCACCCGGGAGGGTCCCCGCGACCCCCGAGCCCCGAGGAGCGGCGGAGTCCTTCGAGATGGAGGAGGTGAGGAGGATGAGGAGGATGAGGTGAGGAGGAGGAGCAACAGCAGAGGGAGGAAGGGCCCCGCGGCCGGCGCGGGGAAGGAGCTGGAGCGGGAAATGTCCCCGGAGCCCCGCAGGCTTTTAAGGTTTAAATGATTCAGAGGCTCGGGCGGGGCCGGGCCCGGGGGGAGCCGGGTCACCCCATCCCCCCCTCCCGCGGCACAGACACGCACAGGCCGGGCCGGGTCACGCGTGGGGACACGAGGGACGCGCCCAGGGTGGCGGGGACAGGGTGGGGACACGCTCAGGGCCGCCAAACCCYGCAGGTGCTGAGCGAGGATGAKGAKGAKGATGAGGATGATGAGGATGATGAGGATGATGAGGATGATGAGGATGAAGAAGGCTCCCAGCCCCCCCACGCCTCGGCCAGGACCCGAAGGAGTGAGTTGGGGGCTCCCCGCCCTCCGGGGACACGCGGGGTGCCCGATGCCACCGTGTCCCCGCCACGTCCCCGCCGTGTCCCCGCTCCGCAGGCTCCGCGTTCCGCCGGCGCTCCGACAGCAGCGGCTTCGGGGAGGAGCCGCTCCCGGCCCCGGGACCCCCGGCCCGRSCCCRCCGACCCCACCGGGKGACCTGAGGCCACCTCAGGGATGTCCCACGGACGTTTTGGACACGCGTGTGACACGTGTGTGTGTGTGCGTGTGTGCGTGTGCGTGTGYGGCACAGAAAAACCTCCGAACTCAGGATTTTGCCCCATTTTTTGTCCCCCGGGGGCTGCAGCGGGGACGTGTCCCCACCCCTCGGGGACGTGTCCCCAACCCTTGGGGACGTCACTTGCACTTTGGCCACGTCGGTAACACTATGGGGGGTGGGGACACAATAAAGTTCCCGAAGGGGTGACGGTGACCGCGGCTGTGTCCGTGCCTGGCGCTGCTGGGGGGTGGCATTGGGCCCCAGGGGACACTGGGGACAGGTCCCGTGTCACCCCAGCTGCGAGCCCCAGGAGCCACCACGGTCCCTGTGTCCCCAGGCTGTCCCTGTCCCTGTCCCTGTCCCTGGGGAGCAGCCAGGGTGGGATGATCCGGGATTATCCCCGCGGCCCCTCCCGCACCGGGGCGGGATCCCAAACCCGGGGGAGGGACGGTCCCACCCCACTGGGGCTGCTCCGGGTGTCACCCCTGTCCTGGGGCTGTGTGGGACCCCAAACTGGGTGTGGCCAGGTCCCACGGTGCCATCTCCATCTCTGTCCCTGTCCCCATCCCCATCCCAAATCCCATCCCAATCCCATGCCCATTCCCATCCCCGGCTCTCCCCGATTCCGGCCCATCCCAAATCTGGGATTTTT